TGAGGAGATCCTCGCTCTCCAAGACAATGGTGTCAGGGATGTGATCAAGCAACCGGCTGGGGCCAACATGCTGCACAGTTAGTGGGTATTCAAGACCAAAACTGATGCGAATGGCGCGGTGGAGTGCCTCAAGGCGCGGCCTGTTGCGTGCGGGAACGAGCAAGTTTTCGGCATCGATTATGCGCTCACCTTCGCTGCGGTCATGGATATGTCGATGGTCAAGGTAATCCTAGGCCTTGCAGCGACGTGGGGGGGCGGCAAAGCATGGTGACATTCCGAACGCCTACATCAAGGCCGACAAATAGAAGGACCTTGAGATTCTGCTCCATGTGCCTAGCGGTATGGACATCAAGGATGAACAACTAAAGAAGTTTGGTGTGACCAACGCAAGCGAAGTCACGCTTGAGCTAAGACTTCTTCCTCGCGCTTGAAGTACAGGAAAATGCCGCTGATACACAGCTTAAATCCGGCGTCAGTGAGTCTTGCGTGTAGCAATTGTCTCCATAATCGTCCTGCCTGCTTCGGTCCATACAGTCGGCGTCTACGTCGACGATCTCCTTGTTACAGCAACAAGAGCCGCAGCGGTTGAGCAATTTTTTGTGTCGATGGTATCGCTTTCGATCAAGAATCTTGAACCAGTCTAAGTTTCTCGGTATAAGAGTGACGGCACTCGACACGCACGCATATGTACTTGATCAGGAGGAGGCTATCGGCGAGCTGTTGCGTGATCTCGGCATGGGCTCGGCCAACCCCGCGCGGACGCCTGTTGGTGACGCCAGATAGTGCGCTGCTGCAGAAAAACCCATAATCCGGGTCACCGAGTATTTATTCGTTTCAGTCGCTGGTCGGCAGTTTACTATGAATTGCACGATGCACGCGTCCAGACATTGTGTTTGCGGTTCACAAAGCCACGCGCCAGACACATGCACCGCGCGTACGAGTCTGGGCACTCGCAAAGAGAATAGCGCGCTATCTTAGTGGCAGCAAGGTGGTGCGGCTTGAACTGCGTACTAATACCGACCGTAACGAACAAATAACGCTCGAGTCTTTCAGTGATGCCGACTTTGCTGCCGACAAGGGAGACAGAAATTCGCTCACTGGTGCCATCATTTTGCTAAATGGGATGCCTGTAAGCTGGGCAGCCAAGAAACAAGGTGGCGTCTCTCTCTCTCGACTATGGAGGCCAAATTTGTCGCGGCATCTGAGACGGCATGCGAGCTTTCTGGTATTCAAGGGATACTTAAAGAGGTGGGACTTGCATGGACTCAGCCTATGTCGATGCATATGGATAATCAGGCCACGATTCGCCAGATTGAAGGAGAGACTTCGTCTCTAAAAGCTAAACACATCGACGTGCGCCTCAAGTTTGTTA